AGTGATTTGTTTTTACAATAATATACATATAATAATATATGTAGAAATTATTATTTATGGATAAAAAGAAAAAAATAAATCGCTCTTGGGGGCTCCCTGGTGGCTGAAATAGGTTCCGCACGCTTCACCGGCAACATGAGCTACCGTGGAATGTGCAGAGCATCCAAACGTCCAAAGCTCAGGTCAAAAGTTAAGTAAGCAAAACAATGTTTGATAAAAGGACCTATCCTTTAGGGAGGGAGAAGAGAAAGAGGAAGAATAGAAGAAAGCCAAGATAACCTTATTTTAATGTGTCTTGTAATGTAAAAGATTTGTAAAGCTGCCGATTTTGATTTTGGCCGACAAGAATTTTTTTGTCTGAAATGTCATTAAATATAGCAAGAAAATCGGTGAGTTGGCAACAGTGGGGTGAATATTGTTAACTGTAAACGTTCAGACCTGATCAGGTCTGAACGTCTGTCAGTCAAACCTCTCACTGTAGAGCAGAAGAGAACAGAGGCTGATTTTTAAACCTTTGCTGACGAAGATAAGATTAGGGGATAAGATGGGCTTCACATGTAAGTATTGGCCAATCATGATCCCCTATAATTAAGGAAATCAGCCCTCAGAAATTGACTGGTTGATAAATCAGTTGGCTAATAAATGTATCCATTATTATACATGTATATAATGTAAATAGCACTGCCAGAGATGTAATAAGTTTATAGCAGGTGTGTGAATGATCTAATGATCAGACTGCTGATTGCAGCCAGTCCACATTCTTAACAGAACTAGAGGGCCCCAATATCAAATTTCGCTTAGGGCCCCATGGAGGTTTGGGTCAGTCTGACACTCAGAGGTGAGGCTGCCATCAGTGAGGTGAAGTGTCTTGCCAAAGGACACAATGACAGAGATGGAGTGGGAATTGAACCAGCAACCCACCAATTCCAGGGCAAACTCCTACCACCATCACTACTGCAAGGAAATCTGGTGGTGAGCTGCTGGTTCTACGGATTTCTTTCTGCAAAGAAATTTGTAGAATTTTTGGTGAAAAATTGTAAAATACAAAGAGGTAGAGACCATAGAAAATACATGAAATTACCGAAACTAAAGAAACATAAATTTCAAGTGATTTTTCCAATTCTGAACCGTTATAGTGACGGTTGCCAAAATACTCAATCGTAATCACATTTTACATGTAACTTAAAAAGTTTTATTTTGGTCTCATCTGACAAACTTCTAAGAATTTCATGGAATAGATGTATTGATACCGATATTACACACAGATGAACGCTATTCACTCTTTATCTCAAGCTGCCCTGGAGTTTATTAAAGCATATTAATAAACTCTCTTATAGTTAAGAGAAATCAAATACATATAACATTAAAATTGCAATTTCTGAAAAAGTATAACATCCACAACTGATAGTGCTCAGCTAGAGAATTATACATTACTTTGCATTAATCTGTCTTATAAAATTCCATGTAATACTATGGATCATATTTGTGATATTAATATGACGAAATGTGGAAACATGAAATTATTTTCAAGCCACTGTAACAAAACTCTGTAATGACTGTATTAAAAAATATTCTAAAAGGCGATAAATGCACTGTAAATATATTTACCTGAACTGTAACAACTTTAGAAGCAAAAACAGATTTTTGTTCCAAACAAATTCAGGTTTTTATTCTACTAAGCAAAACACTTCAGATTAATTAAGAAAATATTTGAATTGATTTCATTTCTTTGCTAATCGTCTCATTTCAGTTCAGGCAGCAGAACTGGCTGCTGTTAAAGTCAAGGCTAAAAACCAACTGGAGGATCTGAAGAGAGAAGGAGAAGGTTTGTGAACTCTGAAGGAAACTAATGACAACACTGACATCCATATTAGTGGTTTTGATAATCAATTATTATAACTTATTGTTATAGCTGTACAATAAATTTTAGACATGAGAAGACATCAGTAAGGAAACAAAGCAAAACCTCAGAGTAATTACTGCAGAGACATAATGTTTCATTTAATGCCGAGTCTTTGGTAACTTTTTTATTCCAGCTCATGCAGCAGAACTGGCTGCTGTTAAAGTCAAGGCCAACATCATTGGAAACCAAGTGGAGGCTCTGAAGACAGAAGGAGAAGGTTTGTGAACTCTGAAGAAAACTTGTCTTTGCAACACACTTTAGATTAAGCAAATAAACATGGAACTCATAGCTTTAAGCCTTAACTAGCTTCCTTAAACTTCTACTCCAAAAAAATGGAAAGAAACAAAACCATACCTCAAAACCAAACTAGTGCAACCACTGTATTAGAACCAGGCTTTGGTCCCTGTAAGGCCTATTGGTCTTCAGAGGGTTAGATATAGCAGAAATGGCTATCTTTGTGGGGACTTTCCATTGACTTCCATTCATTTCTACAGCCTAAACCTTATCCTTACCGCTATCCTAACCCTAACCAAAACTCAGTTCACACCTCAGTCCTAAATCTGACCTCTGGCCCAAAAACAGTGTTTTCCTTTGTGGGAACCAGGCTTTGGTCCCAACAAGGAGCAGTGGGTCCCCACAATGTAGTATGTGTCAGGAAAATGGTCCCCTTAAGGTATTAGAAACAAATGCACACACACACACACACACACACACACACACACTTCAATCCTAAAACTAACCTCTGACCCAAAACCGCATTTTCCTGTTGATCAATTAAATGCTCTCTGGCACAATCTGCCTGTCTGTGGATTTTGTCTAAAACAATGTGAGGACCTATCAACAAGTCTTAGAAAACAATGATTGGACAAAGATTTTTTGTTTGTTTGTTTGTTTTTCTTTTTTTGTAAATGTGAATTAGCTGGATTTATCAGTCAGTAGAGATGTTTAAACAATATTTACTGTGGAAAATGTTACAATGTTTAATACTTTTCCCTGCTGTATAACAGTCTTTGATGTCCTATGTCTGTCTGTCTGTCTCTCAGTCAAACATCTGGCTTTCTCTGCCTCTTTATTGGCATCGGGTCAAGGACACACTGGACCGTTCAACACCGAGATAACTCTGATCTTCAAACATGTTGTTACTAATATTGGAAATGCCTACAACCGAGAAACAGGTGCTTCAACTTACTCCTTATATTTTATATATGTTTACAAACATAACTAAAATGTAGTAAATTTGTTCTGAAAGTAAAGTTAGTAAAACGTTTCTAATTCTGCTAATGATTCTTCACAGGGCTGTTCACTGCACCAGTAAGAGGAGTGTATCACTTTGAGTTCCACATATTTGGACATGGTTCTAATAATCCTACATCTGCTGAGTTGGTCAAGAATGGAGAGAAAGTCTTCATGTCATGGACATCTCAGCCTGCTGGTGGTCAGAAAGCTTCTAATGGCGTCTCACTGCTGTTAGAAATTGGAGATGTTGTATTTATGCGCATGTGGGCCAATTCACGGATTTATGACAATCAATCTCATCATACTACCTTCAGTGGTCATCTGCTTTTCACCATGTAGGCACATGGGTGGAAATCCTGGGTATTGGTGGTGGGATCCAGACCCCCAATCTTGGAAAAATCTAGAATTGAAGAAAACAAAGAAAACATAAAGGAAACATGTGGTGTTCCAGACACAGACATTAATGAAACTCTAGATTTAAGATTATTAGACACTTTTGGTATGATTTTTGCTCCTGTGTGTTGGAGGCTGTTTGAAAATCTGAAGATAAAGAAAATATAACAAATTGCCATTGGTGGCGCTCTTGCTATGAGCTGGCCTTGTGAAAAAGAAGAAATTCCCGTTCTAAAATAAACATTACCATGTGCTACTTCTGGTTATCTGCTTGAATATTGTTTTTATTTTATCTATTGTTTCATACACAACAAAACCTTTGTATTTAAACAATATCAANATGAAAAAGCAAAATAAATGAAGTACAAACTAAATCTCCCATTGATCTTAAAAAAAAAAATAAGAATACATTTTTAGGTCCCCTCCCCCCCCGCCACTGTTAGAACAATGGTTCAGTCCAAAGTGTAGGAGGAGCAGCAACCGCTGAAGTCAAGGCTCTCAGAGCCTCAGGACCGAGCTTTGGCTCTCCAGTACAAAAAAACCCTCCAGTGAGCAAATACTTTAAGCCAAAGACACGTCACACATTTTATTTACTTTCACACATTAACAATAAAAATCAGACTGCAGTACGTTTTTTCATTACTTTGACTGAATCATGATAAACTGCCTTGTTATGCCTTGGAAATCAAAACTAGCAAAACTGGCTACATTTCTCTCATAGACTTAAGCTTTATTGTCAAAGGTTGCAAATATTTCAAACATACAGTGGAGGAAATAAGTAATTGATCCCCCACTTATTTTGAACAGTCAGTGATTTTTAAGATAGCTTAAAGTGAGAGTTAGAATATCAAAAAGAAAATCTAGAAAATTAAGTAATATTTAAATAAAATAATAACTTGCTTTTCATTGAGGGAAATTCGTATTTGATCCCCTAACAACCATGACTATTGTTGGCTCTCACAGACCACTGATACACCGTAGTCTCAGTGAAGTCATTACCTGCATTAGAGTCACATGGTCCCAAATTGTCAGCTGTATAAAAGGCCACCTGCCAGCAGATTCAGTGACACTCCGACATTTCCACCATGCCAAGACTAAAGAGCTGTCTAAAGATATCAGGTACAAAATTGTTGACCTACACAAGGCTGGAATGGGCTACAAACCCATAAGGAGGAAGCTGGATGAGAAGGTGACAACTGTTGGTGCGATTATTCAGAAGTGGATGAAGTACAACATTACTGTCAATCAACCTAGGCCTGGAGCTCCATGCAAGATATCACCTCGTGGTGTCTCGTTGAACTTGAGAAAGATTAAGAGCTTTAAAGGAGCTGGTTAATGAGCTCTGGGATTTGGGAAAACAAAGAATCCCAAATCTCTGAAGCACCAAGATTGTCTGTTATTGAAGCTTTTGAAAGTCATTAATGTTAACTTAAGAGAGGAAGATTCATTTAAATCATTAGTTCAGACTTTTTAGAAAGCAACTCATTTTGGGGGAACTTAGCCGAGTTGAAAACTTAAAGCCACACCCTCTACGTCTCAGATCGTGCCCTGCGCTCATGAGTTTCTCTCGTTGACATGACGACCATGTTTGGAAGGCAGCCTTTGGATTTTGGTTTTGAAGGAATACGAAATTCTGAAATTCTGTGGTCCCAGTTTGGAGACTGGGACCACAGTCTCCAAATAAACCATCGGTAATGCACTGAGACGTAATGGTTTAAAATCCTGCAGTGCACGCAGGGTTCCTCTCCTCAAGAGGGCTCATGTCCAGCCCCACCTCAAGTTTGCCAATGAACATATATTAATGACTCTGAGAGAGACTGGGAGAAGGTGCAGTGATCAGATGAGACCTTTGTCTGCAACTCAACTCGACGTGTTTGGAAGAAGAAAAATATAGAATATGACCCTAAGAACACCATCCCCACCGTCAAGCTTGGTGGTGGAATATTATGTTTTGGGGGCGTTTTTCTTCTAAGGGCACATGCCGACTTCACCGCATCAATGGGAAGATGAACGGGGCCATGTACAGCAAAATCCTGGATGACAACCTCCTTGCCTCTGCCAGGGCACTGAAAATGGGTCCTGGATGGGTCTTCCAGCATGGCAGTGACCCAAAACATACAACCAAGGAAACAAGGACTTAGCTCCAGAAGAAACATATCAAGGTCATGGAATGGCCTAGCTAGTCTCCTCACCTCAATCCCATAGGAAGTCTATGGAGAGAGCTGAAGCTTCGTGTTTCTAAACACATGTTTAAAAGCTTCAAGGATTTGGAGATGATCTGCAGAGAGGAGTGGGCCAAAATTACTCCTGAACTGTGTCCAGATCTTATGAAAAACTACAAGAAATGTCTGACTGCTGTTCTTGCCAACAAGGGCTTTGCCACCAAGTATTAAAGGGTGCTTCACTGCTTCACTGGGGGTTAAATATTTATTTCCTTCAATAAAATGCTTTTTTTTTCTCATTTGATGTAATTTTCTCTGTTTTTCTTTTGATATGCCATGTGTCGCTGCTAAAATAAAGCTGGCATAAAATTATGAGATATTTCATTTATTTTTTTTGTAAAAAGAAAAAAATTAAATCAGTGGGGAATAAAATACTTATTTCCTCCACTGGTATGCCTTTAAATTAATTGACTACATAATCTGATCAATTCTAGAATGCATTAAATATAATCAGTTAATATATACTAGCAAAGTTTAAATAATTGAAGTTGTAAAACAAATAAAATTCTTGTATTTAAATTTCATGCGAGTGGTTTTCATTAAAGTTATAAGTAAATTGGACACCAGTAGGTGGCAGTAAAGTCCCTTTAAACTGGCTGCCACCCGTCATAAGACGGTAAAAGAAGATGATGCACTTTCCCCAGTACTCAGGTTTATGTGACTGTGGCTCAGTGGTTAGAGTAGTCGTCCTGTGATCAGGAGGTTGTAGGTTCAACTCCAGCTTCCTTCTACTATGTGTTCCTGCCCCTCTGGGCAAATTTCCTACTGATACATCTGTATGTGAAGTGCTTTGAGTGGTCAAAAATGCTTTATAAGCTCAGTCTATTTACCATCACAAAACAATTGCATAAGCATAAATGGCATCCCATTCAAACAAATATATGCCATTTAATTTGCATAGGTGACTTGCTTATTATGCAATTCAAACAATATACTATATGTATTTGAAATAAATACACCTATAATTATTAATTAATATAACTATACTTTATTAATATCAAATACATAAACATAAGGATTGTGCAATTAAAATAAATAGGCTTTATTACAGTGATGAATATGAATCAGATAAGGTTTATTTGATAGGTTTGCATGAAAATGATCTAAAATAAATAAATAAATAAAGTAAACGGAAATCCATCCATCCATTTTCTGTACACCCTTGTCCCTAATGGGGCCAGGAGGGGTGCTGGTGCCTATCTCCAGCGAACGTTTCGGGCAAGAGGCGGGGTACGTAAACGGAAATTTGTCATGTAAAAATATTACATAAATCTTAAAAGTTAGGGTTAAATATTTCTGTAAGTTACAAACAGAACAAATATCTTTTAAATCATTTAAGATGTGATACACTTAATGTAATAAACTAGAATTATACACACATTGGAGAGAAATCCGTTATTACTGCTTCCACTACTCTTTTAATTTGAAAAATAAAGAACAATGGGGCTCAAATAGACAGATGATCTGGTTCAGTTTTTATGTTCGGATTTAGACTTAGTCTACTACAACAACAACAAAAAATCTCAAACATGCCAGCATGCCTAGGTGGGCCCCTTGTGGGGGAAAGGAGGGCTGATATATGGGTCCCATATGGCCTGCCCTCCTCAGACCAAATTTCAGATCTACCATGACTGACTGACACCTGCTGGCCTCAGGTTTGCAACCAGCTTCTGA